CTCTCTCTCTCTCTCTCTCTCTCTCTCTCTTTCTCTCTCTCAATATTTTTTTTTATAAATAGAATTGATTTTTTATAAATAAAATTTATTAATGCTTAAATAAATATCTTAATTAGAGATATAAAAATCTTAGAGATAGAGAAAAAGAGTAATACAGACAAGTGCAAAATATATGAATGCATAATTATTTCTTTAATTATGTTTTTATTATCTGTTATAGTTTAAAATATAATTCTTTCCATTTCCTTTTTTTTTTAATTTTGCTACTTAAATCAGCGATTTTTAATTATTGTGCTCTTATACTCCTATATTGAAAACACTAAAAATATATTTTCCCTAAATATATATTATTCAACAATTTTTAATTCCAGCAACCGTAAAGAAGCAGATAAAGGCCAAACGTACCAGAACGGCGTACAGTAGTACACAATTGATCGAGTTGGAGAAGGAGTTCAGCGCAGGGCGTTATCTTTGTAGAGCGCGACGTATTCAAATAGCGAAGAACCTGAACTTGTCTGAGAAACAAATTAAAGTATGGTTTCAAAATCGTAGAATGAAGGATAAGAAAGATAAACCCGAATCTAACAAGCTGATCGAATCCATCGACACTTCGAAAAATGCGCCGTCCAGTAGCGCGACAATGCACCATTCGGAGACGGTCTTCAAAATCAATGATTCGAAATCATCGACCTGGATGTTTCCCAAGATCACGGAAACCGCCGGTCCTTCGTACGCATATCCGAGCGACGTGTCATCGAACGACAGTCAGACCATAAAAAATTATGGAATTCTCGATGAGTATAAGAAAGCACAGAATTATTCTAGTATGTCGATCGAATCGGCGCAGCAAACGCAAATGCAACCCTCCTCCAGCAACGTTTTGCAAAATGATATATTTTATGCCTCTCAAGAGGGAACGTATGCGTATCAACAGCAAACCAACTACTGCGCCACTCAATCACAGATGAGCAACAATTACTTTCAGTGGAACTATCCGCACGTACAGGGCAGTATCGACTTGCTAAATGCGAATTCTTATGCGCAGAAGCTGAACAGCTGTGCACGTAACGACAACGCAAATTGTCCATTGAATCAGAACGCGTCGCTGCCTCTTCAAGAGAATATCTACGATGATCTTTACAATTCTGAGAATTACATGCAGTTGTAAGGCATCTACGTAGAACGCAGTATACGTGCATATGTGATATTGGACAAACGGGAGAATGTTGAGTCCAACTGGTTTATTTGTAAGTGCATAGTGAGAGATGTAACGAACCGTCTTTAACGAACTTCTTTAAATCAGTGTAATTCATATCGCAAAAAAAATCTTGATAATACTCTTACAAATATAGATAAATCCAAAGGAGATTACTTTATACCAGTGTCGTATGATCTCATCGAAATATTGCTAATAACAACGTCGCACACGCGTTTTGTGGTAGAGGTATAACTACTTTGATTCAAGAAATTGAAAATAATATATTTTTAATCATTCCGCGACTTGTCGCAGTTCTCTATCGTTTCGAATAAAAAATCATGTCGCATGTGACAATGTTTCGATTGTACCTGACTTGAAAAATAATATTTTTATTATAGAAGAGATAAGATAATGAAAATGAAAGACGTGGTTGTAAAAAGATAGAACTAACTTTTAAATTCATCGAGATAATGAAGTAATATATAATAACAAAATTACGTAATTATTATCTAAATTGCATATATATATATACATTTTTTGTGAAAAATAATATTAATATTATATTATAAAAAGCAATCAATACTTACATATCACAAATAGATAAATAACGTATGACGTGTTATTTTTAAAATCAGATATAATATATACAATTTTCTCTTTATCTACTATGCGTATGCATATTTCAACTAATGACTTGATGAATCATTCTTTAATTTCAACTTTGAACAAATTCTGCTTTTTTAATTATCGGATTTTATCTCGAATTTTAATAACATTAGGAGTGTGATCTCTTTTTTATTTTAACATTAAATTTAAGTAAAACTTAAAAATTAGCAACTTGTAATTCAAATATACTTGTAATATAAATATTTGAGTATAAATCTTTCCAACATTAATATCTCTTTAGTTTTTTATATTATATATTATTAATATCAAACCACTTGGCGAACCGTTTAACGAAACGTTCGGCGTTATACACAGTACTTTGTAATAACTACCAAATTATTACATATATTTACAATGGTAAATGGTTCTTCTGTGTATTTAAATATATAATATAAAAATATTTATTAATCAATCTGCGGAAGCAATAATAAAAGAGTTTCTAGTAAATATATGAAAATAATAAATAATAGATGTATATAAATATATATATAAAAAATGAATAATATAATATTAGAAAATATATAATATAATGCTAAGAATATTCACGTGCGTGCGTGCAAGCGTGTGTATGTGTGTGTACACAAATTAAAACTGTTTAAATATTTTTAACTAATTATTATTTAAATAATTAAACTGTTGAAATATTTAAACTGTTATAAGTACAAAGTTAAAACCAAATGTAGAACAATGTTTGTAGAATTATTGTGATAGCGAGCAAAATTCCTGCCAGCAATGTAATGTGCGAATTATACAATAAACTGTTTGATCAATCAACAAGTACAGATTTTAAAGAGTTATTGTAAAAATAAAAAAGTTTCTTTTTATTACCTCTAAAAATCGTTTTATATTTATGTATAAGCATGAATTTATCATATTACTAATAAAAGTTTGATTTTTCCCAGAGTTATAAATATATATAAAAATATAACTATTCTACATATATTTCTATATGAAATTTTTGACTCTCAATAAATGATTAAAATTCTCATATACGTATTAAGTAATACTCTGTATATATGCAAAGTACATAACAAGTTGTTATTACAATATACAACTGTAACAGAATAAATAAATAAAGTCGCATAATTATCATGAGATAATTATAAATAGCTGAATATATTGTAAATATAATATATAGAGATAGCAAAAATAGATGTTCCAAATATATATTTGTATTTTGGAAAGGGTGAATACGCGCAGGAGGATGATACGAGAGAACGAAGTGTGGAATAACGCGGGGGAGGTGGCCCTCTCTCGGCATAAGGGTGGTCGCAGAATGGAGGGGCGCTCTCTCACAGTGGAAGGAAGCAAGGGTATGGGGTTGGGTTTCAACCATGATTTCCATTCGCCAGCCATCCATCTTGTTTGAGACTGGAAACTGACAGATAGACGCGGATCCGAGTGCTGGTGACGTGGCAAGTCTTGCATGCTTGTGTGTGTGTGTGTGTTTGCGTTGCGCTCGAGTGTATATGTATTTGTGCAGCTACGTGCAGCTTTGCGTGCCTTTAAACTTCGCGCCCGTGTGAAAAATTCGTTTTCAGCGACACTCGCGTACAGCAAAATTGCTTTTATATCTCACATTCTATGTAACACACAGCACATGAAAATCTCTCTCTAAAATTTTCAACAATTTTTTATTTTTTTGTAATACTTTCAAGAAAGAAATGCCTGCAATTTTGATTATGCTCGCATCAAAGATGCGATTTTCGTATTTTATATTAAGAGAAACACAGACAGCTTTCGAAAAAAAAAAAAAATGTTTAAATTTTTTAATACCGCCATATATCGCTCAATTCTCGACAATCGCGCACGGATCTTGCATCTGTCATTCGTTCCGATAAGTTTTGCCAGAAAATGCCGAGAGAGAGAGAGAGAGAGAGAGAGAGAGAGAGAGAGAGAGAGTTTGTACAAACTTCTGCACTGTAGCTTCCAGCTTGACGCACCATGAGATCTTCTCAATCGAAGCTCGTCTTTGTAAACGTACGTACTCATGTACGGATGAAACCGCGACCACACGAATGCGCGCGAGCGATAGTGAAGTATGAGTACATGTATACTTACATAAGGTGGCTTTCACCCCGGTCGCCTGTTTCTACCAATAAATACAATGGACTGCGGAATGCCCGTGGATCTACAGCGGGATCTATGAGCATTTGAATCTGAATCAGACATTTTTCGCCGTTCGGATTTACCGCGAATGCGATTCAAGAGATTCCACTTTTATTCCGGATGAATAATGGATGGATAATATCGAAACAGAACGGCCTATTATATATATCGGAAGGCCGGGAGCTTTTTCAGTATTTTTTAGGTAACGCTCTTTTTCCTTTGTCGTTATTGCTATGATATTAAATGCGAGCTGGAAAGAGATAAGCAGACACACACGTAGTGCTAAGAAAAAAATAATAAAAAATATTATCTTAGAATCTCTTCTATCTAATACGGATGAAATTAGTTTGGCATTTAAATTTCTGCGATACCTTTGGCACGAGTACAAATTGTCTGCGCTCGAATCTTAAAACATGTTTCATAAAGGCAGACCTAATGGCAGAACTTTCCTATTCCATTTCGGGATACTGCGTTACGCAAGCGATCAACGTTACGAGCTACGAGATTTATAGAGCGCGCGTTTGGACTCCTTACGTGCACGCGAGACAAGGTTCGAGTTTCCTACGGTTAAAACGTAAAAATATTGAAATGGGCGAGGTGAAAGAATGAATAAAGATCAAGAAAAGAAAGAAAGAGAGAGAGAGAGAGAGAAGGAGAGCGAGAGGAAGTGGAGAGGGGAAGAGCCCGGAGGGTCGTCGTTGCCAGCACGTAAGCGCAACTTGGTCTGCCGTGGAAGTGCCGAGGAAAAGCTGCGAGTGGGAAGGGTTGGAGGGGGGGGGGGTGGA